GGCAAGGGGTCAGGTTTCAGGGGGCTGAGTCTATCTTCATGATGTCCACTGTCTGCAGGTTGACTGACACCTGGGTAGGCCACACCCAAGGGCACAGTAAGAGGAGGGGACACACACAAGGCACTTCCATGGAAGATTCTATCCTAAACAGGGCAAGGGGTTATATTACAAAGGAACAAGTGAGCATAGCTTTACCCATGGGGCTGTAGCAAGACACACCCATTTCTGTGACTGAGCGCCTCAGCACCCAGCTGGGGAGTGTAACTCAGTCACCCGTAAGGTTGGCCTCCCACAAGCGACTTTTTTAAAAAGTTAATATTGTTATGTTTAGAGAAATGACTGACTGGCTAGAGCCCAAAGATAGGATGAAAATTTAGTTTTCATGGTACTTTTTTGTGCATTTACAATTTTTATACCATATATACATACCATCTATGGAAGGTTAGTTAATAAACTTAATAAAAAATTTTTAATATTATTCATTTTATACCTATGTGAATAGTTTTTACTCATGTAATACTAGAGTAGATCCATGCCATTTAAATACTATAAATAATTCTGTAGTAAGTATATTTAATACAATTTGAAAATGGTTGCTGAGTACAGTGGCACATACCTATAAAACTAGCTACTTGGTAGGCTGAGGCAGGAGGATTGCCAATTCAAGGTCAGCTTGGGCAATTTAGTGAGACCTTGTCTCAAAATAAAATTTAAAAAAAGGCTGGGGATGTACTTTAATGGTAGAGTACTTGCCTAGCACACCATAGGACCTGAGTTCAATCACTAGTACAAACACAAAACAAACAAACAAACAAACAAAAGGTGATCATCAATGAAGTCTTCATTAGGAAACTTTGAAATTATTTTAGAATATCTAGCTTTCCAAAGTTGAAGTTCAGAATTTTTACTTGAAACTAATTTTTATTTCTTTGTAGAGATACTTTTTCCACTCTGGGACAATTAAGATTTTCTTGAAGCTCAGAAATTTCAGCACAAGCTTTTTCTACTTCATCAACATTGTTTTCTCTTGAATATGTCTGAAATTCTAACTATAGCAAGATAAAATCAGCCATGGATTTTCTGCAAAGGATTTATGATCTTCTTAAGGGATTATAAATGACAGCTGTTTGGCCAGCGGCTAGGCTCTTGGATTGCCAAGTTAGCGCTATTAGTTGAAGGGAAGAGACAACATAAAAGTTTTTTGTGTGTGTGTTTTTAAGAAGTTGCATATCAGTCAATGTACAGTGCACTGGAAACAGAAACCATGTTTTCAAGCAGAAAATAATTTAATAGCTGAAACGTGGTATCTATAAAATCAAAGGATGCCTAGAAAAGAAATTAGGGGAAATTTCTAGAAGTTTGACAGCAAGACTATATAATTGTATTTGCAAGCAAGTTATCAGGAAGCTGATACTCTTATTGCTTTTGTGGCTGCCCATAATAAAGCCACCTGATACCCATGATACTTCTACTTAGACACTAGAGTAAGTTGACTGGTAGCTCCATATTGGAGCTCATGCCTTTTGGAGTTTGCTGCCATAACTGTAGGAAATGGGATACTTTTCAACTTTCAAATCTTAGAAATTCATGTTATTGGCAGAATCTAAATCACACCTCAATCCTGTTTCTACAGGAGTCTGAGAAATGTAGATTTTAATTTTTACAGAACCATTAGTGTAGACTAAGATGTGGTATGAGTGAAAGTTGAGTGCCAGGGTAGAATGTTTAGCACACTCTTCTTCCTTGTCTACTCAGCAGCTATACAAAGCCTTCTACACATAAATTTCCTCATAATAAAAATAACAAAAGTCATGCTACCACCAGCTTAGGGTCACTATTCCTAATATAAATGAAAAACTATCTCTTTCAGGGTCAGAATTTGTCCTGGTCCCTTGGAGCACACTGGGAACTGAACAGTTATAGGATGCAGGAAAAGGATGCAACAGAGATGGACATGAGAACAATCAGTATACAAACTTGCCTAAAATCTCAACTTTGTGGGTTCTGATTCACTGGCTTATTGGCTATATCAGTTCTATGATTTCATGAGATGAGATTCTTTTGGAGCAACGTTTCTCTGTGAGGCGTGAATGGGTGGGCAGTGGCAGTGATTTTTCTTTCCAAAGGACATGTAGCAATGTCTGTATACATTTTTAGTTGTCACAAATTGGGCAAAGGCAAGCTGTTATTGGAATATAGTGGGTAGAGGCAAGAGAAGCTGGAATATCCTATAAAGCACAGGACAGCCTTCCACGAACAGATTATCTGGTCCCAAACACCCATATTATAAAAATTGAGAAATCCTGTTTTTGAGCAATCAGAGAAACTCTTCATTTTTTGGGACAAGCCAAGAATTTAAAACTCTGAGTTTTTCATTATTCTCAAATTTCTCAAAGGCTGTTAAAGCTGTTACCCCAGCCCAGCCCAGCCCAGCCCAGCCGGCCCATTTATTTCTCATTGCTTCTTTTTGTTCCCATACTTTTTATTGGCTCATTATAATTATACACAATAGGGGGATTTGTTATTACATTTTGGTAAATGCACAATGTAACAATGTAATTTGGTCCATTTCCTTCTCCAATATCTTACTTTCCCTCTGCTCTTCTCTCCTTCTCTTCCTTTCCTCTATTATATGGATCTTCTTTCATAAAACCCCCGCTTCTTCCTTCCCCCCCACCCCACACTTTCTTTTTTTTTTACCTATTTTTTTTCCCTTTTGCTTCCACATATGAGAGAAAATATATGATCCTTGACTTTCTGAATTTGGCTTTATTTTGCTTAATATAATGGTCTCAAGTTCCACCCATTTTCCTGAAAATCATGTAATATCATTCTTCTTTACGGTTGAATTATTTCTCCTTTTGATTATTTTTCTTGTTTTGCAGTACTAGAGAATGAATCCAGTGGCATTCTATCAATGAACTACATTATCCCTGGCCCCTTTTATTTTTTATTTTGAGACAAGGTCTCACTAAATTTTTGAGGCTGGCCTTGAACTTGTGATTCTACTGCCTCAGCATCCCAAGTGACTGGAATTTCAGGGGTGTGCCACTGTGCCTGGCAATATCTCATATTCTACTGGTAATAGGGTCCTCTCTGAATTCAGATCCAAACCTTGTCAAAAAATACATCCCAAATTTCCAATGTTGAAATTTTATTTCTTTATTTTTTTCAACATCTTTATGTACCAATCAGATACTCAGTTTCAATAGGTTCTCCTAGCCCTGTGCACTTGCATATATATCCTTTCCTTGGTTTGGAACATCTGTCTCCTTTCCCTGCTTCTCTGACTAATTCAGATACTTTATGTCTGTAAATATAATTTTCTACAGGATGCTTTTCCTGAGTGCTTCCTCCAGTATTAGCGTGTGTACTTTTTTTTTTTTTTCCGTAAGCTTATACACAATATACAGTAATTTACCTAACTAAATCTTCAACTGTACCTTAAGCTCTGGCAAAGAAAACACAATAACTATTGCAGAGGTTACATCCTATAAATTGCTCCATATAAGTATTTACTAAATATTGTTCGAGTTTAATATTACACAATTAAATTCCAGTTTGCTTTTTTGTTTTTAAATATTTTTTTAGTTGTAGGTGGACACACAGTATTTTTATTTTTATGTGGTGCTGAGGATCAAATCCAGTGCCTCACACTAGGCAAGTGCTTTATCACAGAGCTACAGCCCCCCAGAACAATTCTAATTTACTTTTGCAAAATAATTTAACATGTTTCTTTAAAGAATAAGCTCCACCACTGTATTATATGATTTGATTCCTGCAAATTTAGTCTTTCATAACACTGTATTTTGCATGCTACGAACATTGCCATTTAAAGTATATTTGAATGAACTGAATCACCTTCTTCCAAACCTTTTTCTACCCTTGATATAGATATTTTAAAATAACTATTAAAACTGCTTCAAATTCTAACCTTTAATAACATTTAAAAACATGTTAACATGTTTGAGAATAAATGTGACATTTGAAATGGTTCAAAGACTGCCATATCTGGTTGTACATATTGTCCTTATATTTTTATGGGTTTAAACATTTATCTTGAAAAATAAATTTCCTAAGTGGATTCAAGACATTCATGTAGACATATAATCTAAGAAAATATACACTATACCTTTGAAAAGGAATTTTTCCCCTGCATGTGTTCTTTCTTTTTTCTCTTAGCAAAGTACTGAGTTTACTTTATGTGGAAACTATGGTCCACAGTTCAATATATATATAATGAATATAATATAATTAAATAAACTCTTTTTCTCTGTTTGATTAATAATTTTCACAGCAGCAATTAAGCAAGGCCTCATGATTTTTGTGCTACCCTTTTGTAATAAATAATCTTTTGCACGTTCCAAGATACTCTTAATTGACGTAGCAGGTAGTGTAGCTGTATCACTTATGGTTATTGGTAGAGGGTTAAGGCAGCAAACGTCTTTTTGTTCTAAGTTTACTCCAAATAAATCCTTAAATAACAAAGACCAGAAACAGGAGTTGATCTCCCATGATTTAGATTGAGAGGCAAGACTAGGTTCAGGGTGGGCGGGGCCTAGGGGCTATAAGCGGAGCCTTACGGAATCTAAGCGAGCTCTCTTCTGTTCGGCACTACTCGGCTGGACTCGGCTCTTTTCGGCTCCTATACCCTGGGAGGGAGCGTGGCTGAGAGGACAGCGCACGCGCTCTCAGCTCCTGTTGGTCTCAGGGCCGCAGTTACCCTTGAGTTTTCACTTCCTTCTTCTCAGAGCTGTATCCGGGTCGTTGCTTTCCCTATTGTTTCAGGCAGTCGTTCTCAGACTGTGCAAGTTGTGGGTCTTTTGTTGCTTCTGGTGCAGGCTAATAAAGATTTTCTTTATTTTATTTTTTTCTATTGGTTTTAACCGGGGGAAGTTAACTCCCCAGGGCCACCGTGTTGGCCGCGCTGCCTGGGCCGGAGGGCGCCTCTGGCCAGGGAGCATCGTGGGAGGGGGCGCCAGTAGCGGGGGCCGGGCTAGAACTGGGGGGCGGGGGGCGGGAGTGAAGGTGGGGCTGCTCCTGGTAGCGTCCCTGTAAAATCGGCGCCGCCGATTTTGAGTGGCATCTTTCTGACTTGTCTCCGTCGCCCCAGTCCCCGACCTCGGCGGTGACTGGGCTGCCTGTGGTCCCGCAGCCTCTCCCTAGGTATCCTCCAAACGACCACCTCACGGATTCCTTAGTAAGTGTATCCGAGGCCTCTGTGGGGAGAGAGACCCGTTTCAGCCCTTGTATCAGGGCTTTGGGAGAGCTGGGAGGGGGTGGGCGGGAACCGCTGGATCCTGGACGGTTCTTGGAAGCTACCCTCCCCAGTCCTTAGGAATGAACCCGACGTTTATTCCCTGGGCTTGGCGTTTTCTGTTGACTGCTACAGTATTTTAATGAGGGATTGCTAGTGAGTCGCAGAAACCTCTTTATAAGTTGTGCAAGGAGAGGGTCAGGTTGGATTTTGGCCGGCCTGAACTGATGTTGGCCGCACCCCGGGGCTGGAGATGCTCATTTTAGCAGCTCACCTTAGTGGGCTGAAGCCTTCCGCAGCTCTCTTCCCCACTCCTACCTTTCCCTGACGCCAATTGCCCAGATGGTAAAGAAAGATTCCCTGCACGAAGTTATCCTTATCTTCCCTCAACATCACAGCTCTCGCCCGTGTTTGGTGTGATGATGAATGACAATGTCATGTTTTTCTCTTAACAGTGGATCGCAGCTCCAAGAGGAGGCAGGTGAAGCCTTTGGCAGCTTCTCTCCTAGAAGCTCTTGATTATGATAGTTCAGATGACAGTGATTTTAAAGTTGGAGATGCTTCAGGTAAATGCTTCCTTTCTTTTTCCCTTTCCCAGCTTTCTAGAGTTGGACTTATTTTTAGACTTTTTTTAAAAAAAAGAATCAATTTTTGATTAAATTGCCGATTTAAAGTGAAAGCACATAACTTCATTTATTTTGTCCATTTAATTTTCCATATTTCCCCAAGATCCTGTCAGTAGATCCTATCTTGCTTCTGTTTTCCTTAATACTTATACAAAGATAGTGAACAGGCAGGGAAGGACTTTTTCCAAGGGGCAAAAGCATTTCCATTTTTTCTACATCTAAAATATATCTATGTTTATTTTATGGACAGAGGAAAACGTCTAGAGATAAACAAAAGTAGAATAATACCATAAGAGTAATGTGGACGGTGAATAGCTCAGCACAGGGTTCTTTTCGACTCTCTTTGCTTGCTGTGAGGGGAGATTTGCTTTTTTCTGTTAGCTCTCTTATAAGAATAAAATTGACCAGATAGAAAACTGTTCTAAAAATTGTAGCTGGACCTTGTGGAGTCTTCCTTTCAGAAATCTTTCTGGTATATGGGGCTGAGGCTGTGGCTCAGTGGTAGAGTGCTTGCCTAGCATGTGTGAGGCACTGGGTTTGATTCTCAGCACGAAGTTTATGTAAATGAATAAAATAAAGGTCTACACATCTAAAAAATATTAAAAAAAGAAATCTTTCAGGTATAAAGCATAAATTCTTGCTACTTCATTATATTTGGTGATTTTAAAAACAAAATTTAAGAAGGTCATGTATTCATACTGTACAAGATTTGGAAAACAAAAGTATGCTTTTGTTCATTGTGTCTCATGTATATATATTATATGAAGTTTTGATTGAAGGAATTTTAGAAACAAAGTATTCTAAATGGAAGAGATTATAAAAGTTATTTGCAATCTGCCCCTTTTGATAGAAGTTTAGATAAAGTGAAAAATAAAAGTTATTTCAATTTCCCCCCTTTGACACTTTTTTTTTCTTTCCTTTTGTGGGCCTCTTACATGCAAGGCAAACACTTTCTCATTGAACTAAACACACATTCAATCCCTTTAATAGTTTTTAGCTATCCTTCCAGAAAGTTTACTTTGTCTAGGCATATCTTGCTCCTTTCCTCTGATTTTTTCTTCTTTTTTAAAGAAGAAAAAAATCTTAATTAAAATTTTTTTATTTTTTCTGCTAGGTATGACAAAAGGGATGAAATTAGGTTTTGTTGAGTTACATTGCTATGAATTACTTGAATAGCATCAGCATTTGCATTGTGAGAACTTTTTGTTTGCGTATCTAATTTTTATGATGACTCTGTGAAGGGTGAAGGAGGTATTATTTTATAGGTAACTGTTGTACTGAGTTTAAAGAACATCGAGGTCACTCAGGCAGTAAAGAATTGACTTCAGAATTTGCACTTTTTTCACTGTTTAGATCCCAAGAGTGGATAGATGTAATCTTGAACTAACAGCATTTGGATATTCTGGTTACTAATTGAGTTCACTCCCAACAATTAAAAGTTGTTAAGTTTATCTCTATTCACTTTTTAAAACTTTATCTCCCAATTAGTTGAGTCTCTAATATTTAGTACTTTCAAAAAAAAAAAAAAGGGAAAGTAGATAAAATCCAACTGTCTTCTCTTTGTGAAGCTCTTGACAGATAAAAATATTCCTGCTAGAGTATAGTTTTGCTTGTTAAACCAGGTTGAAAACTGACAAAAATGATTAGCTCTCGGAAAGTTAGGACTTAGTCAATTCTTTGAATATTATTGTGGGATAAAGTCCAGAGCTTAAGTATTTCTTAATATTTCTGTGACAATAAATACTGATATTATAGATACTTTTTTCTTTTTGTTTATTGAAATGGAGTCACTCTCAGGTCTTATTTTTCTTTACAAGGGATGAAACAATCTTTATCAAACATAAACTTCTTTAGCAAAATAATTTGTGGTATCAGACTTAAGTAGATTTTCCTGACTTTGTTAAATCCTAATCATAGTTGAAGGGAAATATTATTTGTGAAACATGATAGGATGAGTTTTGTTAGGCTGATATATATATCTCCTAAAAGTGCATATATATATATCTTCTGTTCTTTCTTGTCACATAATACTAGTGTGTTGCACTCATGGTTCACCTTCCTACCTCCCTGGCTCCTGGGGAGTTTAAATTTGTGATCTAAGGACACAAATTTATCTATTTAGTTCTTCATATATTATTGTAAAAGGGAAATTAGTAGAAAATAATTTTGTTTAAAATAATTAATAGTCAACAGAAATTGAATTGTCTTTTCCCCTTTTGGTTTAGGTGCATTGACATTCCCCATAGCTGAGGCGATGTCTTACTCTAGATTACCGTTGCTTCTACGTCGATTCTTTTCTGTTCTCTTCCTGAGGTAGTTCATTTATTAGACTCTTATAAGAAAAAAGACCCTAGATGTTTTGCACATGTCCAAGTTGTGGAATCCCAGCCCAACTTATAAATAGGAAATTAAACTAGAAGTGGAGAGACAGTAGCTAACATTTGTCTGGCTAAGTCTTTTTTTTCATGACATCTAGAAATGACTTATTGAGTGAACTGCTGACTTCTTTAGACTTAATCTTAAAATGGTTAGATTGATTGGCTTCAGTTTTTACTAACTGTACTCTGCATCAATTTCTCCATATTTTCATCTTAAAATCTGAAATTCTGATTATAAAACTTTTTGTATTTATTTTAGGCTTTAAGAATGAATACCAATATTGTGTGCATATACAAATATGTAACAACAAATCCCATCCATGTGTCCAACTAAACTACACCAATCAAAAACGTGGGAAATAAAAGAATAAATATCAAAAATTCTAAAAGGTTATTAACATCCTTGAAGCTAAACATACTTTCACTCATGTGTTTCTCAGATGATAAAAAAAGGAAAAAAAAAAAAAAAGTTGCTATAGCATGACCTGCCCATAAGACTGGCAAGTGGTTATTGACAAAGTAAATAACATTTAAAATTAATTCATCTTGGGCTGGGGATGTGGCTCAAGCGGTAGTGCGCTCGCCTAGCATGCGTGCGGCCCGGGTTCGATCCTCAGCACCACATATAAAGAAAGATATTGTGTCTGCCGAAAACTAAAAAATAAATATTAAAAAATTCTCTCTCTCTTAAAAAAAATTAAAAAAAAAATTAATTCATCTTAAAACAGGTAATATAGCCACCATAAGAACCATATGTAGAAATGTTAGGTGGAACCATATGAAATTCCCAGATACAGTTACTATTGATGACTGATTTCATGCTTCAACTTAGTCAAAGTGGTTGTATTTGAGACTGGGGTCTAGGACTGGAAACAGGTATGAGACTGCTTATATTTATTTACTATATAAATAGAGTGTTCTAAATGAAAGAAGACAAACTAGCAACAGCGTGTCCTGGCTTCCTCCCCCACCATTCCACCCACCCAAAGTACTTTGCACAGAGTAGAATGCTTAGCTTTCTTCCTTTTTTTTTTTTTTTTTTTGGTATGGGGATTGAATCCAGGGATGCTTTATCACTGTCCACATCTCCAGCCTTTTTTATTTCATATTTCGTGACAGAATTTCACTAAGTTGCTGAGATCCTTGATAAGTTGCTAAGGCTGGCCTCAAATTTGTGATTCCTGCCTTAGCTCCCTGAGTCGCTGGGATTTCAGGCATGAGCCACCATGCCTAGCTTAACTTTATTTCTTGATTCATGCTTAATTTAGTTAGACTGTATTGACAGAAAATAGTATTGACAGAAAATAGTTTAACTATGAGAGTCAGACTGAGACTTGTATTTTGCTTTGTGTTATAGTTTGAATCAAGATATATTCATTGACCACCTGTAGTTTGTTTAACCCTTAGCTAGACATTATGGTGAATTCACAACAAAATAGTAATTCTATTAGAATAATCAAATAAAATAGTAGATGACACAAATGATGATGATTGATTTGTGTAGTTCAGGTCTTTAAGAGGAAATGAGATTATTTTAGATGTAGAACAGTTTCACTGAGATAAAAGTTGATCCATGAACTGAAAGAGATAGAAGATTTAGATAGACAGCAGTCTTGGTGAAGGAAACATTAAATGTTAAAGATGTCGAGGTTTGGAAATGTCATTTTATGTTTATGGACAAGGACTGAGTAAAGGAACAGTAGGAGAGATAAACCCATAAAAGTCTCATGAGGTCATATTCAGACCTTATATACTATGAAGGTTTCTCAAACTTAGCCCTGTTGACATTTTGTGTTGGTTGATTCCTTATTATGGAGGCCTATCCTATACATTGTAGGATATTTGGCAGCATTGCTGTCCTTTACTAGATGAACACACATAATGTCTTCTCTACCTGTCCCTGGCAACCATTGTCTCCAGTGGCGCCAGACATTGGTAGATATCCTCTGGGGAAAAATTGTCCCCACTTCATAATCACTGGATTTGGTTTACCTAGAAAAGGTAAGATGACACAGCTGGAACTAGAGTCAGGAGTAAAGGATGAGCTGTATTAAGAGACAGACAGAACTAGTAAAAGATACCTCTAAGATGGTAATTCTGAATAAGTAATACATAGTGATCTGTTATCTATTATATATACTTATGATACTAATTCCTGTTGCAGTGTCTTGATGAATAGAATGAGGTTGATGAAATTGAATAAAAGGATTATTTATATTGCAAAATTAAGTCTCTGAATTGAAACGTAATGCTTTTATTGTTTATATTTATTATGAACAAAACTTAAGCATTGGTTGTAATGGTATTGATGATTGTCATTAGTTAAAATAATTTTAATTTTATTATTGAATATTATGAAGGAATTCTTGAAGTTTCATTTATTAAATTCTGTTAAAATTCCTCAACGGTCTGTTAGTTGAAATAGCTATTCTTTGGAGAGATTCTGACGTGTATTTAAAAAAGGTTACTTTTTAGTTAACCAAATGGGAAATAGAATTTCAACTTAAAATTTTTTTAATGTGATGCAAAAAGTTTATTGTAGACTTGTAATCAACACTGTCCTTATGCCTGAGTAGCTTTATTTGACATATCTGGCTCATTTCTCATTTCTTCACGCTATTATTTCTTTTTTTTGGTGTAGGACATATAGGGATGATAGATTTGGAACATATCATAGAGTCGTTCTTTGATTTTGTAGGAAATTTTTTCTTTTCACCCTCTAAAAATATAGGCAACCAAGGATCTTGTTTTCTTGCTATGGCCCATCTGTGCTTATAAATACTGTTTATATCCATCCCTGAAGTGCATATGTACCAAAAAGAAGTGATGAGTAACCAGATGAAGAAGTTATTTTTCAGATATCAAAGAAAGATAAAATTTGATATATTTCTGATCCCTGCAGTTGGAGTATGAGTAATGTGTTATGTTTGGTGAATAAAGGGTTGGACATGCTACTGGGATTTCAATCTATGGGAAAATTTCATATTCTTCTAATAATGTATTAAAAAATATAAAATATTATAAAAATTTTAATTTTTTTTTTTTTTTGGTACCGGGATTGAACTCAGGGGCACTCGACCACTGAGCCACATCCTCAGCCCTATTTTGTATTTTATTTAGAGACAGGGTCTCACTGAGTTGCTTAGTGCCTTTCTTTTGCTGAGGCTGGCTTTGAACTTGTGATCCTCCTGCCTCAGCCTCTTGCTTCAGCCTCCTGAACTGCTGGGATTATAGGCGTGTGCCATTGCACCTGGCAAAAATTTTAATTTTTTAAAAAAATTTTTTGATTACAAAACAAAAACAAAATCAAAGTATATCAGTGTACCTCTACATTTAAAAGTAATTAATAATTGGCATTGGCAATGGAAAAGAAAACAAATTCACAAAAATCCCTGACATTTTGTAACATTTAACAAGTAATAGCAAAGTTGGATTGGTCTCAGTTTTGATCAGGTACCCATACTTCTGTGCCAGTTAATCTTCACTTTTGTGTCTAACATTGGATTTTTTTTGCTGAAAAGACTTCTAGAAAATTGATCTAGAAGAATAGTACCTTTTCATGTTTAAATTTTCCTTAGTTAACATGCAAAAGAATTCCTTCTTTGCCTTTGAAGTATTTAGTCAACTCTGGTTATTATTTATTGGATTACAATTTTAAAACATCTAGAAGTTTTGGTTGTTTTTTATACCAGAGATGATTCTTCTTGGTAGGTTGGGTTGAATTTTGTTAATTATTTGTAAAATTCTTGGACTGAATAGAAGTCACTTATTTGTTAGTGATATCAGGCCTATACTCTTTAAAATCCAAGAAACTAAAAAAATCCAAAAGTATTTACTATGGATCATTTGGAGTATTTATTTCTCACATCCTGCAGGTATTTATTCTCTGTGCCGGAGAAATATTGTAATTGATTATAGGACAGTAACATAGACCTCATTGGGAGTATATGGTATGTATGCCATGCCACCCTTCTAAAATCTGCAAAATTCTGAAATTTGAAAGACATCTGGCTCTAAAGCTTTGAAATAGGGAATTGTTAATCTTCAAGGTATTGCTTGTTTATGATATTATATGCAAGATTGTTTAAGATGGGTGTTTTTCAGAATACTCCTGAGTAAGTTGTACATACTTACATGATAATCTTGAGATTGATATTGATTTCATAAGGTCAGTTAACATTTGTTGCTTTTTATTTTTTAATTTTTGAAGACATGTGTTTTAACTCATTGTGACCAGAAATGCATTTTACAATTTGAATTGTTTTCAATTTGGTGAGGGTTTTTTTTTGTATGTATTTTTTATTTGTTCTAATTAGTTATACGTGATAGTAGAATGCACTTTAACACATTATGCATAAATGGAGTATTTGCAGGATATTTTTGTCAGTCGTTTGTGTAGTGCTTCTCAGGTGCTTTAGATACCAGATACTAATTGCAGACAACTTCTTTCACCTTTAATGCCCAGTTAATTATAGAGACTAAAACAAGTTGGGTTCATAGGAATTCAAATGGTGTGGAAATGCTGACTTTTTTCACTAATTCATCATTACTGTTTTCTTAGTTTTAGGCACAAACAATTCATTTTCCTTTGGTGTAAACTCTTTCTCCTCCTATTTCCCACTTCCTTTTATCCTTCCCTTTAAATATTTTAGATTTTTATTTATTTGATTGGGTGAAAAGAGGATTAGACAGTTATGAAGGAGTGCTGGATTGGGGACTTGGCTGCCCTAGGCAAGAATGGAAGAAACTTACTAGAAAGCTTATAGGTCTGTAAGAGCACTTTGTTGTTTACTGCTTATCTTTTCAGTAACTATCATGATGGTTCATTTCTAGGATGGATTCATTTGTTCATCAGTTATTTCCTTTCTAGGGCCTAGAATTTTTGAAAGTTTAGGTGGCTTCTTTTATTATTACAGATAGCATCTTAAAAAGCAGGAAAATTGATAATCTCTTTTTCAGTTTCCATTTTCTGTGCCATTGCTATTGTCTTGATCTGTGTACTTGATCTAAAATTGATTTGGTCTGTCAGGGATGTGATACAAGTTGACATATACATATCTATGCTTATTTTGCTAAATAAAGGGAAAATAAGTGAAACAAAACTTTGGGGGATCAGATTTATCTTGTTTTGGATGTGACACTTTTGCTACTTGTAAGTCCATATAGTTTATAAAAGGAAGATGTAAGGGAAGAAGAATTTTGTCTACATAATATTATCATTCAGTTAAAATCAAGGGCCCAATTTAAAAAAAAGCATTTTTACTTTAGAAAAGTATTGCCTCTGGGATACCAAGTATGGTATGAAATAAATGAGTTTATATATATATATATATATATATATATAGCACAAAATAAGTAAGTAAATAAATAAATAAATATGACACAAAATAGAGCTCCTCTTTTTAAAGTATATTTCAATTTATAATTACATATATTCATCTTCATTAGTGCTATATTGAATTAAAACCATTATATCAACTTCATTGATTTATTATTTAATCAGGTTGGGAATGTCTACCATTCTTTGACTTAAATTTGTTTATATTGTTTTACAAGTTATTCACAAATTTTGGTGGTTTCATTTGTGTCAGCGTTGTGTGTGTGTGTGTGTATGTATATACATATGTGTGGTTTTTTTTTTCTCATATTTTCAACAGATTCTGAAGGGAGTGGTAATGGAAGTGAAGATCCTTCAAAGGACAGTGGAGAAGGTTCCTGTAGTGATTCTGAGGAAAATAATTTAGAGGAAGAGCTGAATGACGATATTAAAGTCAAAGAAGAACAACTTAAAAATTCTGCAGAGGAAGAAATACTGTCATCTGACAAACAGTTAATTAAAATGGAAAAGAAGGATGAAGAGGAAAATGGAGAAAGGCCTAGAAAGAAAAAGGACAAAGAAAAGGAAAAAGAGAAAGAGAAGGATAAAGAGAAAGAGAAAGAAAAAGAAAAAACAACAGTATCTGATACTGTGGCTGCTTCTGCTATGGCTACTACACCAGCCACAAGTCCTCCTGCTGTTAATGCATCCCCTTCTGCCCCCACAACGACCTCTACTGCAGAGGAACAAGTCAGTGAGCCAAAAAAGTGGAATCTTCGTCGAAACCGACCACTTTTGGATTTTGTCTCCATGGAAGAGCTGAATGACATGGATGACTATGACAGTGAAGATGATAATGACTGGCGACCTACTGTAGTAAAGAGGAAAGGGAGATCAGCATCTCAGAAAGAGGGGAGTGATGGAGACAATGAGGATGATGAAGATGAGGGAAGTGGAAGCGATGAAGATGAGAATGATGAGGGCAATGATGAAGACCATAGCAGCCCTGCTAGCGAAGGGGGTTGCAAGAAGAAGAAGAGTAAAGTTCTTAGCAGAAACAGTGCTGATGATGAGGAACTGACCAATGATAGCCTGACACTATCTCAAAGCAAGAGTAATGAGGTAGATCCACCCAATTTTTATGATATCTGTCTGTCTGGGGAAAAGGGGATTCTTCTCTAAATCACTCATTATATTAAGTTGGCTTCCTTGAAATTCTATTTAACTGTGGGAGTGAATGAGCCTCCTAATTATAGCATTTATTCATTTGATCAACAAAACTCTATTGACTTTCTACTATTTGTCACCGTTCTCAAGGAGCTCACAATCTCCGTCATCAAGGAGAAACATTTAGAGAAAATTTTTTTAATTGTAAACTTGGGAAATGATGATTTCCATTCCCATTTTTTTTATCCCCTCTCCCTTTTGTTCATAGGACTGTTGGATGGTGCTGAGTGGATTATGGAAAAAAAGGTCATTTTTTTCCTACTTAGTTTTGTTCATATCCACATAAAAATGCAGGTCTTTAGAATACTTTAGAGCAGGACAAAAAGCAGCATAATTATTTTCTCAGACTCTAAAAATTCATTTTAAAGTTTCTTATATCAGTTGTAGCCCCCATCATCAGTGTAGTTACCACATCTTTGGGCTATATGTATGGGAGTAAATATGAAGTATGTTTACATATATTTAGTGAATAAATAATCTCTGCAAAGAAATGAGAGGAAAAAAACCCAAACATTTCCATCATAGAACAAACTTTCCTATCATAAAACTACAGTAATGACTCAGTTCTTCCACTTGAAGTTCTACTACTGAAAGTTAGGTTTATGCATTGGGTCCAGAGATGCAACATTCAAGATTCTTCAGTCAAACACATTTGTGTCTCTTTGTCTGTGTGTTTATGTATATGTTTTTCTTCAAAAGAAAGATTGAGTTGTTGTCTTACATGTAGATGTATCTGTTACATCACATGTATAACTATAATAATTAATTCTGTCATTTCTGTTAATGTGTTTTAGTCATCAAAGTTTACTTCTTTACCAAATACTTATTTTTTTTCATATCATTGAAGTAGCTTAAATTGTAAATTTTCTCTTTATGCTTTATATGTTTCTTCACATTTTTCTGCTTATAGAAGGTTTACATAGCAGTGATTATTTTTAATTAAATTTAATGTAAGATTTGGTGATTTTTCTTACAAAATAATGTTCAGCACGCTATCAGCGGTTATATGTTAGTGAAGATGAAACTGCAGCTTTTATGTTGTATTATAAACATTGCGTAACTTCTAGGTTGCTCATTTTTCTGTGAAGAATGTTGCCTTCCTCCAGTGCTATCCTAAATCTTATCTTTAGGGAAAGGAGAATTGTCATTTGGGATATTGCAGCATAGTATTTTTTAATGGTATGGCATAAGCTGTTTCATATTAATAATACTGTTTTAGAGGAGTAGAAGTATGGAAATCTAATTGTTAATATTTAATTTAGACACACATTCAGTTTATTTTCTAATATTTAATACTCATTTTTGTCTACTCAATAAGTTTCCTTTTTCCAATATCTCTTCTTTGCTTAATTTTTATATTATATTGATATTCACAAGAGTAGTCTGGCTAATGCTAGAGGCAATGTGGATTAGATTTATGGTAAGGTATGAGGGATACCTACATATATTTAGAAATTTGCTACATAAAGTGTGTATATACTCTATTAATAACCTGTAATTCATAACCTGTTGCTTAAGAGATTTTAGATTACGTTGCATTTAAAGACCACATGTGCTGTTCTGGTTTTTTGTTTTTCCTAGTAGAAGAGACCTTATAGGTTTAGATTAATAGTCCCTAAAGACAACTCAGGAATGAAATTCTAAAGCACATCTTGGAGATGCGCCCAAGTAAAAGAATTTATAGAAAGTTAATTTCTCTTAGACTAACATTCTACCTAAAAGTTTGATAACAGTGTTTGCCCCTCAAATTTTCGATGATTCTAGTTCTATTTAAATTATATCATTCAAACTAGGCATTAAAATTTAATTAAAAAACTAGTCAATGTAGACTGTTACTTATACTACTGAATTTTCTATTCATATGATACTGATTTTGTAAAAAAGATGACTGAAGTTAATCCCTGTTGCCTTATAGCCACTGCTTATGTCGTCGTTTTCCTGGTTATCTTAGGAAGTGATAATTGCTAAATATGCATTAGATAGTTAATAAATACATATTTGGTATTTGAAGTTTTATTTTTCTCTGCTTTTAGTTTTAAGTTTTCAGATACCATTTTGTAGTAGAGATAGCTGAAGATGTGTCTTTAGAAATATAAAATAGAATACTATATTTAGTTTATATGCAGGTAGACTTTTTCTTGGCTACTGTGTCAAGTGCATTTTTAGAGAAGTGTTTGTGGCCATCATTTGTATGTAAATGATGTCCTGAATTTTTCACAATTTTGAATTTTCTTAGGGGAACTTAACATTTTTTTGAGCAGGGCCCTTTATAACTATTGTTCGTAATGCCTTAACATACCTGTGCCTTCAGGCCCTGAAATACTGTAGAGCAGTGGTTCTCATAAATGTTTTGGTCTCAGGACCCCTTTATACTCTTAAAAAGTTATTGAGGAACCCTATTATTATTTGTTTAGATTATATCTGTTGATATTTACTCTTTCAAATTAGAACTTAAAAATTTCAAAAAACAAGACATGCAGATGTATACAAGTTGTCATATTAATGACATCATTTCTCTTCATGTAGCTTCTGGAAAACTTCCTACACCTATGATAGGAGTGAAAAGGACAGATAAACCTAGCATTGTTAGGAAAACAGCCTTCACCTCCTAGACCCCCTGAAAGAGTGTTTCCAGGGTGACACCTTGAGGACTGCTGCTGTAGAATTGAGTATTGTTTGCATTTAACACAGTCTGAAGAATCTCCTTGGGATATGTGTGTTTAGTAAATAGTGTGTCCTTTTCAGTGTTTTTTCTTTAACCATTTGAGATTCATTACAATTATTTTGATTATTCACTTGATTCTCTTTAGTAGACTAAAATCTTACGTGGTAAGTTTATTGAAGGGGGTGATGTAGCATTTTCAGAAAATAGTTCTCACTTTTATGACTTTAAAACTACAGATTTGGATGAGAATTAATGTAACAGAGAAGATCATGTCAATAAAAATGGAAGCTTTTTGTTTTGTTTGGAAAAATGAAGAATAACTCTAAATGATATTTAGCTTTGGAGATGATTTGGATTTTAGATTACTATCTTATAAATGTAACCTTATATTCTTTGCTTAATAGATTTTTTTTTGTCATAAAAAGATCTTACCTTTAATGGCCATTGTCATCAGATTTTTGCTAATTTATATATATATATATATATATATATAAAATTTGCCAAAATTTATCAATAGTTGCTTTTATTTGGAATGTCTTACTTATTAATCAGTTGCCTTTTTACAGATTTCATGGTAAAACAAATTGCTCTAAGTCCTGGATAAAAATCAGTTTTTGTAACATTGTACAAATATTTTTGGGGAGTCTTAAGAATTTAATGTTTTTTGAAACTTTGAGGAAGAGTGATTGGTCAGGCTTTTGTTATATTAATTTTTTCTAAACTTTTAATTCTGACGTATAGTGGAATTTCCTTCCATTAAACATTAGCACCCATCATGTTAGCTCCCCCATATTAGCCCATTGTATCGTTTATAATCATTTACAATCATCTCTATGGAATATATGTATAAATGAACAGAAAACATTTAAAACCTGCTGTGGAGAACACTGGGTAATATTATAACTTTTGAAATAAATTTTAAATGCCAATGGAAAAAAGTGAAATTAAGTAGTCTCTGATTTATTATTATAGTGCCCCATTTACTCTTTTCATATAGTAATTGTATTCCATTAAATTATTCTATTAGAATTATTTTTTGGGTGATACCCTTTTGCCATTCCATACCCATTTTCCTGATTTCTATTTTTATGTAAAGCCATATTATAAAAATTTTGTGTTAAAAATTTTAGCTTACCTATTTTCTCTAGAAACTTGAAAGAGGGTAGCCATCTTCAGGGAGATACTGACAGAAGCCAGGTATGGTGGCGCATGCATGTAATCCCAGCAACTCAGGAGGCTGAGGCAGGAAGATCACAAGTTTGAGGTCAGCCTCAGTGACTTAGTGAAGCCTTAAACAACAGCAAGACCCTGTCTCAAAAAAAAAATGCTAAGAAAAATTAATAATAACTTGGGTTTTATGTTCATTTGATCACAAGTGTGCTTAAATCTATATTTGATATGTTAAAGAAAAGTTAGATCATAATTTTTTCAGGAGGATGTACTTAGATTTTCTTATTGAAGCATTGTCTGCCAGCTATTTGTTTAGGTAAATATTGTGGGACTGTAGTTTTCTCTTTGCATTACAGTTCTGGTAAGAATCTACGTGATGGGCATCAGAGGCCAGAAATACCACTTAATTTTGTTTTCTCTAAGAGACAGTGTGAGCAGAAAGAAATTGGTCTAGATTTATAATTTAGATATTCACTATTTTTTGAGCAAAAAAAATAAAGGAATTAGAGACGCCCATTAATGGTGTTTTTTCTGACTCTAGAAATTTACTTTTTGCCATATGAGCAAACCATTTTTTTCAGGGCTGATAATTTGTTGTAATTCCACCAGAGAAATGTTGACAGAGTTCATTAACATGAATACCCTCTTGGTTATTAAACTGATTGTTCACTAGGTTGTTTCTTAGTCTGATTTTTAAAAAAAATCTCTATTGTGATAGTCTAAGAAAAACTTCTTTTTTGGACTTATCATAGAGCTGATATTTAAATTTGCAGTGCTCTGTGAGGCTTGTAAATTTTCTTTTGGGGTTCTAAGAGACACCCCAGTATAATAAATTATCAGTTTATATTTCTGTTTTTCAACCACCTAAAGAATAAAGAAGTGCAGAGGAAAGGAGGAAGAGAATGGACATTTATTGAGTGCCTAGTATTTGCCTGAAATGTTCATGTTACATATTGCTTCATTAATTCACATAACAGCCTCATGAGATCTGATTTTTTTCATCCTCATTTTACAGATGGGAAAATTTCAACTTTTATGGTTCAACAGCTATTAGAGCTGAGGATGAAACCTAACATTACTTTGCTTTTAAGTCAAATGCTGTTATCTTGGAAGCATATTAAAGATATGAAAATTTAGGCAGGTTTTTGTTTGTTTGTTGTGCCAAAGTACTATAAAACACGTGAATTTTCTCAAGGACTTTTTTTTTAAACCTTTATTTGCTATCCATTTATTAACTCCAAATTAATTTATTTTTTGGTTTTTTAATAAAAAGGAAAAAGTATAAAATTTTGAAGCAGTAGAATTCTTAAGGGAAATTACATTACCTCCTTGTTGACTTTTGAATTCTTTTCTGATTTGTTTTACAGGTCAATTTTAGATGTTATGCACAAAATATATTGAAATAATTGTAGTGACCTTCAAATGTTTTCAATAATGACTTAAAAACTGCTGTTAAAATCCCAAATGTTACCTTTGAATATTGTTTGGCAGAGTTTAAAAGAATATAAAAATATTAATATGAAACCAAATATATTTAGTGAGTGTATGGTATGGAACTAATTTTTTTTTCAACATTTATTTTTTTAGTTGTGGGTGGGCACAATACCTTTATTTTATTTTTACCTGGTGCTGAGGATTGAACCCAGTGCCTCACGCATGCTAGGCAAGCACTCTATCTCTGAGCCACAACCCTAGCCCCTGGAACTAATTTTTAATGATATTTTTGAATATAGTTAGGTTCATAAATAAAATACATACAGCAAAGTTTCATCATTTATTATATATAATGTTAAGCTCAATATATTAAATATGATAAGAAACATTTTCTTATTGAAATTTAAATCCATGATGCAGAAGATTTAAATTAAAAGAAGCAGATGCTGCTATTTTTTTGGAATATTTATTTTTTTATTCATCTACTATTAAACCTTCCTTTCTCCTTTGTATTATAACTAGCCAGTGTCTTTATTACCAGTTTGCACTAGATATTTCTTGACATAAACTTAGTAGAATACTCTGACTCTTATGTTAGCTAGTTACCCTGGATCCTTTTTTAGATGTTTTTTTTTTTTTTTTTGTATCTATATATTCAGCTATGGCTAGCTAGGCTCTGATTGACCCAGTACAATAATTCTGGAATTTCTGAATTTCCTAGTAAGTAATGGAGTATATAGACTATAACTTAGCCATCACATGCATACTTGCTTATGTGTTGCCTTTAACTTATTTCTTCCTGTTTCATATATGTTTGTCTTGTCTTTCCTAGGCAGAGTTAAAAACTCCCAAAGTGTAGGAACTATTTCTTATACTTTTTAAATCCATGTATAGGATTAGTAATCACTTGTGAATTAATTTTCCTTTCTTTTAGTTTAAGGGAAAAGCAGAATAACAAAGCACATAGGTTATTTGCATGCTTGCTTTTTCATTTCTCAGAGGAGGGAGAATAATGGAACTTAGAAATATGAAACTAAGAGAGAGGGTACTTATAGGGTCCTTTGACAAAGAGGTATACTTTTCAAATGTAGCATACTTTGAAGTTACTAAAAGAATGGAGAATGTGACATAAATTTGAAAGTGCAAAAATAATGTTTTAAAATAGTTTAAAGTGATAATTTTATTTATTAAAATTATTTTTAAGTGTAATTATCTTCTGATATATTTTAATATTAGGACTCGCTGATTCTTGAGAAGAGTCAAAACTGGAGTTCTCAAAAAATGGACCATATTCTGATTTGCTGTGTTTGTCTTGGAGATAATAGTGAGGATGCTGATGAAATAATTCAGTGTGACAATTGTGGCATTACAGTTCATGAAGGTAATTTTTCTTTTTTCTTTTTTTAAAGAAATGGCTGATACTGTTTAAATAGCTAAAATCAGCTCTTTTACATTGGTACTATTCAAAGGTTTTTCTACAATATTTTATGATAATTTGGTTGAAATAATACATACTGGATCCTTGTAGCATGGTGAATATTATTTTTGTGATTGTTTTAATTTAAAATGTGTTAAAAATAATTAAAATAGAAATATGGGAAGATAAGTATTTTTTAAAGGCTAGTGTAATGATATTTTCCTTAGTGATATAATTTATTTTAGTTCTTAAGTAAAATTTAGAAATAGGAAAAAAGTCTAGTATATTAGTTAAATAGAAAATATTATTAAAAACTTAGATTCTAAGTTTCTTCTTTTATAGTCATACTTCTTAATTTTGAATCTGAAAGATCTAGATATTTATTTTAAACTCTGAGACAGGAGCTACTATAATATATTGAAATTGTTCTTTAATTATAATTATAAATTTTGAAACTTTTATTTTTTCATTAAAAATCTTACTTTGACATAATTTCTGACTTACAGAATTATTACCTGGATAATATAAACAATTCTCATGTGTTTTTCACTGTGATTTCTTAAAATTTCATTTTACTCTATTTATTTTATCTTTTTTCTCATGCAACATTTTCCCCCCTCATTTCTAAGAGATTAAACTGCAGACATAATATTGTTTTCTCACTCTTAGTATTTCAGTGTTTGTATATTTCTTAATGGGAGATTCTTTTACATTATCAAAATCAGAAAATCAGCATTGATTGAGTACTGTACCTAATTTACAGACTATATTCAGAGTTTGCCAGTTGTGCCAATACTGCTATATCTAGCTAAATAAATGCCATAGAAGTTATTTTCGAAGTGTATAATATTAGGAAGCATAAAATATTTTTATTTATGGAATTACTAGTGATATTATTTTGATCAGTTGATTGAGAGAGTATTTTTCTGGTTTCTCTGTGGCAAAGCTATTTTTTCTTATTAGTTAATTTGTTCTTATCAGAGCCATGACTACCATGAAGCAGTATTTCAGTGGTTTTGCCCTTACCTGCCTTTCTGGTATTACAGCTCTAACCTCACATAGTTCCTTTTGCCCTCATATGGACCCCATGGAACTGAAGCTGACTGTGAGAATGTCTTCTGTTGCTGTTACTATTTATTTTTTTAGTAATGTATGTTAAGTATCTTCAGTATGCCTGAAATCCTATAAATTTTATGCATATGAAATAGCATTTACAAGTAGCATATACAAATTGTTGACCTTATGGATAGTAAACAAATAAATCAATAAATATCAGATAGTGGTTGTGAACTGGAGAAAAGTAAAGCAGGGCAAGGGGTAGAGGGGATGGGTGGATGGGATGGTTGTATGGATTGAAAGGAGTTTGTATTTATTTACTTATTTATTTTAAATATCTTTTTAAAATATTTTTTTAGTTGTCAACAGACCTTTATTTTTATTTATATGGTGCTGAGAATTGAACCCAGGGCCTCACACATGCTAGGTAAGCTCTCTACCTCTGAGCCACAACCCCAGCCCAGGAGTTTGTATTTATAAAAGGCAGTAAGTGTTCTCAGACAAGGTGATAGTTGACTAGTGACCTAAAGAAAGTGAAGAAGCAAATCATGTGAATATTTGGGGAATAGAGTGGAAAGGTCTTGAAGTGGGAACATTCCTGAAATGTTTGTGTATTGGTACAGAGAGGTTAGTGAGGCTAAAACTGAGAGAGCAAGCTGATTAGTGATGGGAATAGGGATAAGAATAAACCAGATGGAACCTTGCAGGTCATGGTACTGATTTTAGTTTCACTATGATAGATAGGAGTTTTGAACAGAGGTTAACATGATTTGATTTGTTTGGGAAGAATCACTCTTGTCTGCTGGATTGAAAATAGATTGAGGTGGATTTAAGGTGGGAATCTGGGAGGCTGCTTAGGAGACCCCTGCAGTGACCTGAGAGAATAGTAGATAGTAAAGTTTTAATTTTAAACAGTGTGGAGTTTAGGTAAAATGTTAGGATTAGAGATATAAATTTGGGACTCATCAGCCTGCAGATATACATAAAGTTTTAAGACTGAATGTGATATTTAGGAAGTAAGTATATATAACACAGTAATCCTAGCTCTTCATGGAATATGGGAAACACATGGCCAGAAGGAGAACCATGAATGATGACTAGAGAAGAATGTTTCAGAAAGAGAAAGTGAGTGACTATGTATAATAATGTTTTTAGAGTCAGATATGGGACTCTTGTCATTTGAGAAACTGCCCTAATACAATGGTAGAGTTCAAGTACAGCACCAGGCAAACTATCCTAGAGGTTATGGGAAAATAGACTCAGTCACAAAGTGCCTAAACAAATGAAAAATATACATAAAGAAGCAAGGGAAAGATGGGAGTAAATTAACACACTTAGGGTATGATACCAGTAGTGTATCATACATGCTACCTAAATCCTGGGGTAACAGTGTTTGTATGTCCTGTTTTTTTTTTTTTTTTTGGTTGTTTTTTTTTGCTTTATCAGCCTTCCTTGCTGATGCTGTGCTTATAAAGATCAGAACCCAGTGTATCCTGAGTTGATACATACCATCAGGAAGATACAGGGATAAGTATATCTGACCACAGCTTTGACTCTCTAATTAACGTGTTGAACAGCCTTGAGTTTTATTTGTTTCTTAGGCAGTGGATGCATGATGCCCAGAATATGTATCACTGATGTATGGCCAGATTAAAAGTCTTATAAAAATGAGGTTCTTCATGTCTCATGCATATTGAATCCTGACTCTTTGGGGCCTTTTGTGTATTTAGTAATTTCTATGAGTTTTTCTACAAAAGAGAAGCAAGGAAATGGGATCTTAGATAAAAGGGGTATGAAATCAAGGTTGGGATTTTTTCTTCTTATGTTGTATTTGTTATTAGTTGCTGTGTCAAGGATAATCCCCTAATAGAATAACTTAACAAGCATTTATTACTTGTGTGAGCAATTAGTTGGGTGGTTCTTGCATAGGATCTCCCACAGAGTTATACATAAAAACCATCAGCTCAGGCTGTAGTCATTTTAGGACTTGATTGTGCTGAACTGTTTGCTTTCAGGTTCACTTACATAGTTGGTAGGCCTCAATTCTTTGGTTACTGTTGGCCAGAGATTTCACCACGTTTGCTTCTTTATATGCTGCCTGAATGTCCTCGGGACAGGGCTGTTGGCTTTAGGAATGAGTGATCAAAGAGAAAAAGAGATGGAAGTAATTGTATGAAAGAACTAGTATTTTGGGACATGTATCATTTCTTGATGTGTTTTGTTGTTCACACAAACCAACCCTAATCAAATGTGGGAGAAGACATTCCAAGAGTGCAAATACCAGGAGGTGCTGATTGCTGAGGGCTATCCTAGAGGCTGCCTGTGACATGTAGACACTGTATAGCATGTTATATACTGATGGAGATGACCCAGTGGAAAGGGAGAGTTGACAATTAATGTAGGAAAGAAAGAAGAATAGTTGCTGGAGCAAGGGCTTTTTTTGGTACTAGGTATTGAACCTAGGAGCTCTATATCCCTGGCTTTTTTTTTTTTTTTTTTCTGGTGGGGAAGGCAGGGTCTTGTGAAGTTGTAGAGGCTGGCCTTGAAGTAATGATCTTCCTGCCTCAGCCTCCTGAGTTGCTGGGATTACAGGCATGTGCCACCATACCCACCTATGTATCCAGGGATTTGAGTACAAGGTTAGAGGGGATGATATCCAGTCCCAAGTAGAATGATTGAATAGATAAATTGAGTAGTCTTAGTAACTTAAGGGAAAAGAAGGTATAAAGGTACAGATATAGGTTGTTAGATGTGGTGGTTGGAACATGTGAAGTTATTTTTGGAAAGTTTCTTATTTTCTCAGTGAAATAAGCATCCAAGCTATTAGCAGATAATGGCATGGGGAGGAGTTGGGGATTTATGGAGAGGTAGAATAGCATAAAATATTTTTATTTCGGAGAGTATATGGACTAAGAAAATATGTTTGTAAAAAAATATGTATATTTACATACATACATACATATATATGTGTATGTGTATGTGTGTGTGTATCCATACATACACACACATACATATATATAGGTACATACACGTACACACAGGTTTGTATAAATGTATGTACCTGCACATCTGTTTGTCAGCAGTAAGGGACCATTTGATATTAGTGGTAGTGAATATAAACTGAGAATGGTCAACATTATTGTATATATATATATGTATTGTGGTCTGGATATAGTTTGTCCCATGAGGTTCATGTGCTGGAAGCTTGGTCCTCAGTGTGGCAGAGTTGAAGTTATGGGACCTTTAAGAAGTTGGGGCTAGTAAAAAGTAATCAGATCAGGTATGTTCCATTTTCATGAATGGATTCATGTTATCAATGGGTTGTTATAAGGCAAGTTTGGCTCTTAGCTCAATCTATTACACATATGCCCCCTTCTGCATTTCTCCTTCCAGTTCTCTGCATGCTGTGATGTAACCAGGAGACTCTTGCCAGTTTTGGCTCTTTAGCCAAACATTATATATTACCTGTTGTCAGATATTCTGTTATAGCAACACCAGTTGGGTTCAGACTTGTTTTTTCTTTTCCAGATATTGTTCAGATTTCCAGGAGTGTGTACAGAGTGAAGGGAATATCACCTAACAGGAATGTTGCCTAGGTTGTTGTATCTATCACCACTGATGATCACAAATATATTATGGCTATTTTATAAGTGTCATTGCTGATGTTTTATGCAGGAATGGCTATGGTTGTTAGGGTTGGTGGTTTATGCTGAGACTACAGTCTCTGTATTTTATGCCATTCTTAGGTCTACTTTTCTTTTTCTCCTCTTTTTTTTTTTTTTTTTTTTTGTGTGTGTGTGTGTGTGAATGGTGAGTGAACGTTTTACCACTGAACTACATTCCCAGTTGTTTGTATTTTATTTTTTTAATTTTCAGACAGGGTCTCACTAAGTTGCTGAGGCTGGCCG